AGACATAGGGTGTTTGAGAACAGGGTGTTGAGGATAATATTTGGACCAAAGAGAGATGAAGTGACAGGAAGTTGGAGAAAACTGCATGAGGAGCAGCTTCATAACTTGTACTCTTCTCAAAGTATAATTAGAATGATCAAGTCAAGGAGGATGGGGTGGGCAAGACATGTAGCACGAATGGGGATGAAGGGGAATGCATATGGGATATTGGTGGGGAAGCCAGAAGGAAAGAGACCACTGGGAAGACCAAGGCATAGGTGGGTGGACAATATTAAAATGGATCTTAGAGAGACAGGATGGGATTGTATGGATTGGAGTGGTCTGGCTCAGGATAGGGACCAGTGGAGGCCTCTCGTGAACACGGTAATGAACCTTTGGGTTCCATAAAATGCTGGGATTTTCTTGAGTAGCTGAATATTTGGCAACTCCTCAAGGAGGGTTCAGCCCCATAAGTAAGTAAGTAAGGCACTTTCTAGTTTTACTACATAATGTGACAATAAAATTTATGAACTGATACAGCAACATTACTAATGCTATCTATCCAGGATGAACAGGGCTAGTTAGAGAGAATGTTTGTTTGTATGATGTGCAAGTTTCAACTTGTTTGGTTGATGCATATGAGGATTACAAGTGTTATGGAGAAGGTAGTTTTTTGTCTTGTAGAAGTTTTCAAAATGGAACAAAGAGCAGAGATCGAGGCTTGTGTAAAATTAAAGAAAACAGAACTGAAATGTTTGAGATGTTGAAAAGTGTGTCTGAATGGCACAGAAGGTTCAAAAGAGCTCAGATAGTGAGAATACAAAAATTGAGGGTGAAAACGGCTGCATTTTTTTATGCTGAAGGTATCGTTCATAATGAATATTTGCTAGAAAAACAGACTGTAAATGGTAAATTTTAAAAAGAGGTGATTAAGTGATTGATCGCTCGAGTTCATTGCGTTAGGCCTGAGTTTATAGGAAAGTGGGTCCTGGCATCTTCTACATGATAATGCACCAGTATATTCTTTGGGTGTTGTCTCTTTAAGTTTTTGGCGAAACAAGGGATCCCCATGTTGTCCCATCCATCCCACTCTCCTGATTTAATGTTAGGTGACTTTTTTATTTCCCAAATTATAAGTTGCAATGAAAGGGCCAAAATTTGAGGCCGTTTCATTGATCCAACAGACTGTGATGAGAAAACTGAAGGCAATACAATAAGAGGTGTTTTCTTGCACATTCAATTCATTTTATGAGTGATGTAAACATTGTGCATAAATGTGCAGGGACTATATTGAATGATGGTATTAATATTTATCATCTCTTTTGTGCGGTCTTTTATGGCCTCAGTTTGGGAACTTAATTGTCACACTGTGTATGTTCTATTACATCAGGAGGATTAGCTGGTTAAACAAAAATGATTCCATTTTTCAACATTTAAACAATACTAATATCAGGATTTTAATTTTCAGTAACTATTTAGTTAATACTGTGAAATAAACACATCTGATGTATATGTATTATAGATGTACATTCTGTGAAGCAAAACCTAGGACATGAAGTCTTTTGTACATGTCTCACTGAAAACTGTGGGCACTTTTAGAACAGAGCTAACACATGTCTAAACCTGCTCTCCTTGCATTCAGTAACTTTCTTAACTTTTCAAAATCTTCAAAGCACAGAGGGTTTATGAACAGGATTACAATGGATTGAACAGAAAGTATTTTGGGAAAACAAGGAACAGTCTTCAGCTCCATAACAGAAAAGTCTGTGAACAGAAGAATGACTTTTAACATGTAGTTAGTTATTGTGGAAAATACACTGATCAGAAGAAGAAAAATACAAACCCAAAAGTATGACTATGACTAGAAAAAAACACAAATGCGCTCACAGGCAGAAATCTGCAGGTGCAACATGATGAGATCAATTGACCATGCTTGCTAATTTATAACGAGGGTAAGTCAGAAAGTATCATAATGTATTTGTTAAAATTAACATAAAAGCAATATATAACTCAACAGTTTCTCTGGATTTCAATACACATGGTGCAGCATTGCACAGGCTTATGCATGTCATTAGAAAAAAAAATATTTTTGACCAGTTGGTAAGCCATATATGCCTCCTTCAACATATGGTATCTGACAAAACGGTTTCTTAAAGCATTTCTGAAGGTTTCAAACAGATGTGAATGTGATGGAGCAAGGTCAGGATTATATGGTGGATGTTCTAATCACACAGCATAGCTGCTGGAGTATTCCAACAGTATGGACAACACATCTTTGGATGGTTGTCCTTGGCATTTACTCACAATCTCTAACTATACTTCATCATGCAATGCCTCAGTCACTGTTCATCTTCACATCCATTTTCTGATACTGCTCAAGGGTTGGTCCCTATAAATCTCAAATGGTGTGAGTATAGCTCTTCCCACTGCTGGTTGATATTTGAATTTTTTAACAGGGGATGTTGGCTGTTTCCGATCCGGCTCTGAAGTTTGCTGTTTGGCTAATGATGCATTCATGTTCCCTCACCCATGACAATGTAACGCAAAAGGGCATAACCTTCCTCATGGTTCCAGTTCAAAAGAAGGGTACAGATGCCCAAATGGTTATGCCTTTATTGTTCTGGAATCCACCTTTCAAGTAACTTATAGATGTGAAGTCTGTGGGTGATGATTTCATAGGCAGAACCATGACTAATCTGCAGTTGGTTTGCCAGTTTATAGACAGTCTCTCTCCTGTTGTCAAGAGTTAGCATATGGAGTTGTCCAACATTCCATTTGGTAGTCACTGTGGATGGGCACCCTGATTGTTGTTCTTCATCAGTAACACTCACTCAGCTGCGGAAAAACATCATCGCCAAACTGTGCTGATAATCTTCAATACATTTCCACGCTTCTTCCACCTTCAGCCCACAAAAATCATAGTATGTTCTTTCCTTTTGTGTATGTGGTAAACAGGGCAGCTATGTTGATGTGACAAGTGGTGAAAGACAACTTAATGACAAAGGTCAAATAAGTCACCATAACAACAGAAATATTCTGTGCTTGTTGTTGCATATGAATTCAGCAATGGGACCAATCAAAAACGAAACGAATTTTTTAGATACTTTCTGACTTTCCTCATACTTCCACCTGACATCCAGAATGCTCTTCAATATTTAAGTCATAAACATGTGCTCTAAATGGAATCATCATTAAGAGTCTGGCCTTTTCTATGAGCTCCATTATATTCAATCAGAACCAATATAAAACAAACCTGATACCAAAATTAATTAAAACTGAACAGCCTAACTGGCTGACATACATCAATTCTGGACTACAGCAAAGGGTGAAAGAAAAAACTCAATTCTTGTTCTAAAAGTGGATCTTGCCATAATATGTAAATCCAATCATTCAGAAGCTCAGCTGAACCTGGAGCATGAAACCTTTTACACCATTTGACTTGATCTTAACCCTTTGTCCTATTACACTGCAAGAGAGTGCAAAAATTTAACCCTTCACCACATTTTACCATGACCAAATATACACTTTAGTATAGAGCAACTCATTTGTTCTGTCAAGGCTGTCTCTCCCTCCATACCTGTATGGGCTTTCTCTCTTCAATCTACAGAGACTTGAGAGTTAAGAAAAAACTACAGCTCATACATGCCATTTCCTACGATGGGGTAGCCAATATGATACCAAATTTAAGGGTGGGATAATAATGAAAGCAGTGTCCTTGTCCTGGCCAACAGAGTTCCTCCATACCACAGGATGTCTACAAAAGTGAAAGGGTTATTTATAGTATTCACTGGAATGTTTACAAGCTTAGGAGAGTTAAAGTCTTCACACAGTACAAGTTTATCTTTGTTATACTACTAAAAGTATTGTGTTTCTGGACATTATCTATTGTCCTGTTTTTATTTAAAACACACAACATGCTGGAGATTGGATTCTGCCTCCATCTTCAAGTGGAATCTACTCGGTTGGGTACAATCAATAGAGCTGGTCCCTACCTCCTGACACCAGCACCAATGATAGGGTATACAAACCAAGCACAGCACAAACCATCTGCCAGAGTTAAGACAAACATTAAAATCAATAAAATAACTACACACTTGAGGCCTAGCACCTATGTCCATGCACTATTTCACAGCTATTATTATAATCAGAGTACTATTAGAACAGAAGTATGCATTAAGGAACACAAATATAACGTGACCCAAGGCCTGCTTGAAAAAAATCAAAATTAACCCAACATGCATATGAAGAAGGCCATGAAATATGGTGGAAAAAAGTGAAGGTCTTGCAGACTGAAACAAACACCACCTACAGGAAATACCAGGAATCCGCCAACAAGTCTCTGGTAGATCGTCTGACCAGTCAACCCAGCTTGGACAGCTCTCCAATCTGGACTCTCATTATCGCAGCAGAGGTCAGAAAACTACAACTCTGTCCAGTGAAGATTATGTGTGAAAACTGTCTTTTTATGTTGGTACCATACAGAAAATTTGTCCTTTTAGTGATGACTTCTATTCTGTTAGCAAAAGCCGTGAAATAGTGCATGGAGTCTTTTAATGATTTTAATATGTCTTAACCCTCACAGATGGTTTATGCTGTGACTGTTTACATATTCTGCTGATGTCCAGAGATAGGGACTAGCTCTATCATTTGGCTCCAACTGAGGAGGGTCCACCTGAAGACAGTCTCCAAAATGTTGTTTTAAATAAAAAGCAGGACAATGGGTAATGTCCATAAACCAATAATTGTATTAATATACCATCACAAAATTTTAGATCTTACTTGTTATACTGGTTTTAAGTCAGTGACTGACAAAATAGCATACAAAGTAAAAAGTCTGCCAAAAATATATTTTTATTCTATATTCTCAAGTCAAAATAATGATCATTCCCCGTTCTTGTGTTTCTCGACATTATCCATCATCCTGTTTTTATTTAAAACACGGTTCAGAGACTGGATTGTCTCTGTCTTCAGGTGGACCCTACCCAGTTACGCCCAATCGAGTCCCTGTCTCTGGTAAATAAAAATAGGTCGATGGATAATATCCAGAAACATACTAGCTGTATTAATATACCATCTTTATGGACTTCTAGATCTTATCATTCTCGGTTGCTTTGTATTTACTGCATCTCCATTCTGTACGACTTCAACAAACTTTGATGCGTCACTACAGTTCTCTTACACATAGTTTTATGTCGTGTTCACTCACTCATGAATAATGCAGATTCTACGGGGAAACAAATTTAAGTTAACAATACTTGTACACAGTTAAATGCTTAAGAAAATGCTAATAATTATGCAAAAGTGATACTGTCAAAAGAAGCCACTGAACTAAATATATAACACTTCTGTTATACTCAGGTTGTAGCAGTATAATCATGGGACAAAGGGTTAAGCTATTCCAGATACCAACAGGAAGACTTTATACATTACAAATACTGGTTTCTGAGTTTACAAATATAAGATACAATATGTAATTATCTGTACACATGAAGGTTCTCAGTTTAGACTCAGCCAACATTCTTATATTTATTTCTGTTTACCAGAACAGTAAGAGGACTTTACTGATAAAATTTGCAAAGCTAAGGCACGTAAAGAATTTTCAGCCCCAGAACAACAGCCTTTGTCTAATATTCTTCTCATATGTTCCAGAGTTTTAAGGCACACAACTACACAACATGGTTCCCTGCTGTTTGTTCCATTGTTATTGCTCTCTGCCTCAGAATGTGAGGTCTTCTTAGTATTCTTGCCACAGCACTCACAACTTCCAGATAATTTATTGATGTCCATTTCCACATTATTATTTTCTGAGGTGTCAGCTTCATGGTGGTTCTGTAACTCATTTGGTGGCAGTATGTGAGGAACAATAAGCATATCTACACTACACCCTGGATTCTGCCAACTGTCCAAATTGGTTGAACCATATGAATGATTAGTCTGTGCAGACCTGGAAGACTCACCCAATGTAATATTGTCTGCAATCTCCATAAAATTTTCATTGCTATAATGTGGTGATTCAACTTCCGCAGGCATGGGCTCATTAGTACTACTTTCTACAACAACCCTTTTATGCTCATGTGAGCTAAAACTGTCACTGCACTGATTTCCAATTTCTGAAGTCATATATGGATCATTACCAGAGGACTTTGTGTTTACTTGTAAAGCTCCTAACTTCTTCACATGTGAAACATCACTTTGTGCTCTTTTTCTGGTACTGCTATTGGATGACACTACTGAAATATCAGATATGGTTTCAGTCTCTGTTTCAGCATGACACACTTGACATGCTTCGTCAGATGGATCACATTTGCACGGGTTACATCTGCAAATATCTGCATCCTTTGCAATATCTTTCAGAACATTCCTCATTTCTTGTGCTTTATCATAACTGTGTGGTTCTTTTGTATTGGGCACTGTGAAAAGAACCTGATTAGTTGGCGTGACTAGATTCAAATCAGACTGCTGCATCATAGGAACATTATGAGGAGATGAACACCAATTTTTCTCCTGATAATCTTTAGCTAAAGGAACTATTCCATCGGCACACTGACTAGACGGAGGAAAGACAATACCACTTAACAAAGACGACAACTCTGAGGAATCTGGCTGGGTTGTGGAAGGTAATAAAATGGATGGAGAAACCATATTAATTGTACTATCCAAAGCCTCTACACTTTTATCTGGATCAAGAATAATAGGAGCATCTTGAACATGCAAAACAATCCTTGAATTTCTCATTTGAGCAATATTTGGTGTATTGTCAATTTGGTTAGACTCTACAATGGAAGAAGTAAAGACGGGCATGATACCATTTGAGAGGTTCACGTTACTCAAAGAAGGAGATGTCAGGTACAAAATATTTTCAGATGTCTTACTAGCAGTTTCAGACAGGTTTTCTGAGGTGTTTCCTGTTTCTACAGAGGATGCAAGCTGGATGTCTTGTATTTGTCCAGAAGCAGATAGGAAATTTAAAATCTCAGCGGCCCTGACACCAGAAGCTTCGAAGACATTTGATGACAATGGGTTTGTTTCATTAGTCACTGATGCTGTCAACTGTATACCCTGAATTTGACCACTAGCAGAAAGAAGCCTCAGTATATCTGCTATTTGTTTTCCAGATTCCAAACCCCTTGTGTCAGGATCATCAAAGATTTCAAAAGATGTGACAGGTGAGGATGGTAATGACTCATCATTAGTAACCATTGTTTGGTTGACTTGCATTTGTTCACTGGAATTACTAACATTAGGAATTATTGTGGAATTATGAACAATACATCCATTTGATTCTGATGATGCCATCTCCACACCTTGATTCTCCTCACTGTCAGAAGCAAGGTCTGAATTGACCATATTATTAGTAATATTTTTACTATCCTTAAGTACTCCCTGTAAAGTGTGTGTTGGTGCCAGGTATGAAATGTCAGACATCTGCAAATTTTCCACTATTGTATCTCCTGATGGTCCCAGCACACACTCAGAAGGGTGTTGTACTACAGGTGTCTGTGCCAGGGCAGAGGAAACGCATATCCCTGCAGAGCTTGACTGGTGGTTAGTCACACTGCAGGTCACCACTGGCGGAACACTGGCTAATAAATCTTCAACTTCCATAATATCAGTTTCTTCATGTGCTGCATGTAGACTGATTTCAGTAAATGGGATGAAAAATGCTGTTGAATAAAGGGAAACTATATAAAAGCAGGATTCCATATTTTTGAAGTGTTATAATACAAACAACATCCATTATTAATTCATTATATGTGTATGTGCTCCATATGTTATTCAAGTGTGTTGCATAAAATGAAAAGAAAATTTAATGAAGATTTCTCGAACGATCAGTTCTATCACAATGGAGTTTCCATTTCAGAAAGGTGTCTCTACATCCATCATCATGGACTAACACATGAATGATGGCCGCGCCATAGCTCAAGCGGTTAGTCGCTGGCTTCCCACCATGGCGGCCCGGGTTCAATCCCGGGTCTGGTCAAGTGGGATTTGTGGTGGACAAAGTGGCACTGGGACAGGTTTTCTCCAAGTACTTCGGTTTCCCTTGCCAATCTTCATTCCACCAATTGCTCCACAATCACCCTCACCTATCATCTGGGGCCGGTACAATAGGCCAGAAGTGGCTGCAGTACAAGTGACATAGTCCCACCTCACTAGCAATAAAAAAAACACATGAATGATGCAGCTATTTGTTGTACATATACATACCCTGCGTAGCCAATCTCCATGTCCTGCATGGGGTGAAAAGATCAGTGAACATCATACCTCAACAAAGCACAACCATCAATGAATTATAATTCATGGAATGAAGGGTAAATGCTCACTAATATTCCAGATTTTTTCATGTTATGCAATGGTGACTGTATGTATGACTATCTGACTCAATCCACTGTTCTTCTATTGGCCTGCTCCTTGGCAAGATTAGGCTACACAAACTAACAGCATGTGCACAAATAGCAAACAACTGCATCATCACATCAGTCCCTGATGGCAGAGGAAGAAAGTTTCTGGAATGTTGGAAATTCATTCCATTGTGACACAGGTGATCATCTGAGGTGACTTCATTGCAGTACAAAAGTGAGCTTCCAGCCTTAGAAAGTTAATTTTGTGCGTTAAATTATGATGAATGGTGAGTCAAGAGAAACATACACAAAAAGAAAATTATGGCCTATTTAGGGTTATTATCCTGAGCTAATGTAGGAACCAAAACATTGAACAATATTTGATTTAAATATATGAAAAGCAATTTTTTCTGCATAAATTTGCAGTACATACATTTACCTTGCACACTATCTTCTCCTGATATTGTAGTTACAGGTGCTGAATCTGTTATGTTCTGATCACTACATCTAATCCTGTTGGGTTGAATGTTCATATCCTCAGTGTCTTTTAAGGGGTCAGCTGTATCTCCAAGAGGATCACCATCTCCTTCAAGTGGATCATCAGCATCTTCATGTGGCTCATCATCTTCATTATCAGACGTTTCTGCATCATCTACAGCCTAGAGATGGGCATAAGAAGTTACCATATGGTATGTTAATTCTCATTTATTTTACTCCTCTATGATTCTATGTCACTCTAGTTCTGACATACAAACAGACTTTACAGATAGAACTTAACCATTGAACTGAAAAGAAGTATGATGTTATTATGTTTGTAAGCTCTTACATCTTCATTGTTCTCAGTAGATTCATGAAGCCTGGAGTGTGACTTCAGGCTATTTGAACTTGCAAATGCCCGTTCACAGTCTGAGTGAGAACATGGATAAGGACGTTCTCCCGTGTGGGTACGGCTGTGTGTTTTGAGGTGATGACTTGCTGTGAATGCCTTTCCACAACCTTCTTCCTGGCATCTGTCAATGTAAGGAAAATGAGAAAAGATACATCACAGGTACCATACTGACCTTCTAATGAAAAAGTTATCTTCTGCAACAGAAACCATCAGATCTTATAATGACAATCTTCATGATTTACCACATTCCAGACTGAGGTTAAGATTTAACACAGCATACAGAAAGTGGCATATAAATACAGTACAGTATATGCATGACTACCTTTGGGCAGATTAACTGCTTTATGGATTAACAGTGGAATTTCTTAGAACTTCTTGTATATTAATTATAGCTTCCTGTTATGATTTAAATGTTGCCCATTACACCTGTTTCAGTAATATTTATCAGTGATGCTTTAAAATGATACAATTAGCATGCATGCACACACACAGATATATATATATATTGTGACGTGACGGAGCGCAACGCTCGGTAAACACCCTGTCCCCCTCCCCCGCAGTGACATAACAGGGGACACNTGCAACGCTCAGTAAACACCCTGTCCCCCTCCCCCGCAGTGACATAACAGGGGACACCACGGTTGCTATGCAGCAATAAACAACTCTCGGCAGCATTGCCCAGCAGCGCCTTTGTAAACATGGTGGGGAGTCTGTGCGGCGACTGTTGCTAGGCAATCGGTAAACAAGACGTTACACAACAGTGGTACCTATCATGTAACTGATTTCTATGTTGTCCGTGCTTAGCCTAAATAAGGAGCAGCGAACACTATTCAGGAGTAGTGAATGATTAGTTAGTGAGTAGTGAGTATTGAGCCAGTTACTAGAGAAAAGAGTAACCAGTTAATTGCAGGCTAGTATTTGTGATACTGCCAATGGCAGTAACTGTGAGACTGTAAATTGCGTGATTGTAAGAGCGAATGTGTAATAAATTCGCTATATCCAATACGGCGTGAAGTTATGTGTCGCATGACATATACCCAACACGTGACAATATATATATATATATTGTAACGTGTTTACGTTCGCTGAAGACGCCGTAGAGATCGTTAATTGGTTTATTGAACAATCTACAAATAACGGCTACAATTAATTATCACACAGTTGCGGGGTTTCACACTTTATAACCCTATGCGCAAATCAGCTCACTCTGTGTTCAGTAGTCTACA